AGCACGTGCATACCAGGAAACCAAAATCATCAGTCCATCGTTTTTTACCATATTGTCCATATTCACGTTCGAAGCATGCAATTGAAAGGAAAACGCATCTTAGTGGATGAAGACAGTCTGTTTTGCAGACGATAAAACTATCAATGACAATTATCAAACTTGTTTGATATTATAAATCTTGTCGGGGAAGCAATAATCTTGTCTTGCACACACGAGATTTTACTTAAGACTCTAAATGGCGACAAAAAACTTTGACCAAGACCGCTCGTGTGCCTGCACCTTTATTAATTTTTCTGTAAATTTATTTTATAAATTTTCACTAATTAAAAAGACGATTTGATATTACAGGATAAAAATACCATTATTAAACCAAAGTTGTCATTTATGCACGTTTTATTGAAAACATGTGCATTATTACAAAACAGTTGCAGCTGAGTGGAGAAAAACAAATACAATTGTAACATGCAATGCACATGCAGATATTGAAATAAACAGCAGACTATGGTATTGAGTTAGAATTAGATATTAATGTGACCATGGAGTGCCATTAAATTCTGGTATTTATTTTGTTTTTAACTATAACTATTCTCCTAAGATTACATTTAATGGATGAAATAAAAAAAATGGCCATGAAACCAGCAGATTAATCTTTCAAAAATTTAGATTCAGGTCCAAATTCTAACAATTAAGCAAGATTTTTGCAATCTCTCTTGAACAATGCAACTTTTGAAAAAACATCTGTGCTCTTAGGGTTTATCTTATTTAAAATTGATGTTTTTCCATCTTGTTTCTTCTCAAAAACAACATCATCTGGGCAATGCGAACAACATATTGCTGAAACATTGGCAGCAACTAATGAACTTTTCACATGAGACAGTATATCAATCATAAGTGAGACAGTATTTCATAATAAAAAGTGGTATCAGGTGTCTAGAAGAGTAAGCATATATTATATTATTATGTCTATATGCTAATGTTTCAAAATGTTGCTTATTCCAAGAGTTATTAACTCTTGTGTCAAAAATGTTTTTAAAAGTTAGATGTGAATCAGCCAAGCCAAAAGTATATACCTGTACCAAGGAAAATCTAGAGAAGGTACATGGTAGCAGATGTTAATATTATGATATATGGATAATATTATTAGTATGGTAAGTTATATCATTTACCTACATCAATTCTCATTATCTACCTTTCAATACCTGTGGTTACTACTTATTACTTATAATCTTTATTAATTACATATGTATAGTACCGTCTACCAAAATATATCATAGTACTACAAGCATAGTACATAAAGGAAATCAAAGAAGTTCATTATACCAAGGTTCCTTACTCTACCAATGCCTTTTAAATGAATAATAAGAGGTTACCTAGCCTTTGTATGTATCAGAGACAATTAGTGCGTTTCCGATAGTTTGGATGCTATTTTCAATAATGAATGATATTAAAACCAACATTTCTGGGGTTACAGCAACCACAATATGTCTTAGATAGGAAACTGGAAAGGTACAAATAGAAGTTTACTCAATATACAAGCAGAAAATCCTCCGTTGGTGCTTTTTTGATTTTTGATTGAAGACATGGACATTCTCAGCACCAAGACTTCCTTTGGTGCCTAGATGGAGGACATTTTAGATAAGCAGCATAACATTTAAATTGATCAGAATATTTTCACAAAACCACTAAAATTATCAGAGGTCTAAGAATAAAATATGTGTTTTTTTCATTTAATTTAATGTTCCAATTTATCAGAATGACAAAAATCTAATGTCTTCCAGAAATTACAATTCATTTTTGGAAAAAGGTTGTAGACACTATACATTTATTACAACTTAAATAATTGCTTCTTATAAACCACCAATATTTCATGTAGAAATCCCACCAAATGACATCCATATAACTTTGAAAGACATCATTAATATCATCAATTTAGAATGTCGAGTTCTTAACTTGGTGAGCATACAGAAGTTCAGTAACATCAAATATGTCATTTTTCAGTGGATTAAAGAATCCTTCATAGTTATTGAGCCAGGAGCCAATTAATAATATATGCCTGAAAAGAACCTTTAGGTAATAGGACCTTAAAAATGCCAACGTTTGTGCCTGTGTTTCAGACAGCTGCCTGAAAACATTGTTATACCCTTCGTCAATGTTAAGAACCAAAAATGTTTTACTTGTTTTTGTTAAAGACAATGTTTTAATTAACATTTGTTATAACAATTGGTCTGACCCAATGAAATGTTGATTATGCTTTCAGTTACGCAATATCTGCAGACATATTGAGAAGACAAATTGTTTGAACTGCCAGACATGGATATCTCAGACCTTTTTAATTAGCATCTTAGAATTGTGGTACATTTCTCAAAATGGCCTATTGAACAGTGTGTTTACTAACATGACAAGTCATTTATCAAAATACATCAAGATTTGGCTAGAAACTTGATTACCACTAGCCTTAGTCTACCTCTCTCTTCATTCATTGTATTGAACCTTCTACTCTAGCTCATATTTATCATTCTTTCTTTATCTATTTATCTTTGACTTCCATTCCTGATATTCTTCTACAAATGAGATTTACCAAGACAGATTGACTACATGACATTATTCGACCAGTTATCATATAAAAGGCAGTATGGTGCCAGGATATCCTGCTATTGGCACATATTCCATGTTGAAGAAGAATGACTTTTTATTGAAGTAATCTAACCATTAAGATAATTTTTCAAAGATGGACAGTTATTTTCAGTCTTTGTCACATTTTACGTGCTTTACCTGAATCGGTTCAAAACATGATGTTTCAGTCTAATTTTTAAAAATCTAAAAGAAATTCCAGAAATCACGGGGCACCAAGAGATTATACTTTTTAAGAAACTTGGCAAATATACACAAACATAAAAACAGTAGGTTCATTGTCTGAAACTCTGTTCCATACTTGATTACAAAGCTGAAGTCCATCTGTGCCAACAAATACAGACATAACTGGCACCATACTGAGAACCTGTGGCATTGTTCATTTCAAGCCAGAAAAGGATGTTTTTTTAACAATTCCTCACCCTCCTGATGGAAGCCAAAGAATTTTTCCACTACAAAGATGTCTAGTGGGAGATGATGGACACCACAAACCAGACTATGTTTTCTTTATATAATTATACAGGACTAAAAACCAACATAGTTCTCATTAAGGTTAAAATAACAACACCAACATTACTTGGTTTTCATTTCATTTCAAAACAAAATGGCGGAAGTGTTGGTCCTGATCTTGAAGATTTCTATGTTTTTACATGTTTATGTTCTTTATTTCTGAACTATTTGTTTTTGTTGAAATTTTTAACATGCCTTTTCAAATAAATGTGTGGTACCACATGCGTTGAGCTTGTGACCATTTTACAATATGTACTGTAGCCATAATAGAATCGCTATGGTGACCATAGACCTACCAGCCATTGTCAGCTGCTGAAATTTGACTGCAGATCAAATGCTTAAGCAGAGCAGACTTGACTTGACTTAGTTGGCATAAACAAAATATATCTTAAGAACATGCAATGATCGAATACTGCTTGTTTTGAAAGAAAGCCTGTTAAAAGTTTTATCATTGTATGTACACAAAACATAAATCATTCAATCTTATCAAAGTCAAACTGAACCAATGATTTAATATTCAGAGCGGATTTTCAAATTCTCATAAATTTCTAAAGGATTTCCTATCTTAACAACTGGTTTTGACTCTTCACGTTCTCAAGTCTCAATAAATCCTTATATACATTCTTTGTCAAGTCAAATTCAATGACGGTACAACTGATAACTGCCCTGCCTTGTTTTTATATTTTTTAATCTCTCTTAGTCATAAATTAGTCCAGATTTAATTCCACCATCTTTAGGCAGGTTGGCCTTTTGATCTTTCTTTCACCACTGTCTGAAGCCTAGCAACCAAATACTGTAGTTAACTACAGGTGGCAGTTTTACAGCACTTTGACTTTAAAACTTTATCACACAATATATGATTCAGGACTTTCCATTCTGATTACAAATAACATTGCCTTACTTAAAACATACTATGCTGCCTTTTACAAAAACTTTTGCATTGGTTGTATAAGTTAACAGAATGAGATGTGTAATGTAAGTGAATGATGTAAACTTTAAGGTTGTTTTTGCGCTGTAGTTATTTGTTTTAAAGGGACAAGTGTGCCTTTTTGGGGGGTTGAATATATTAAAATAGTCTTCAGAGTTACTAGATATGTATGAAAATCACATAATTCCTTTAAAAATACTTCAAACTAGGAATTTTAGGAATATATGTATTTTCTATATACAGAGTATCTTAAATTGACGAGTCCTCATTTTAACATCATTTTAACATTCAAAAGCGGATAATTCTGAACACACATGGCTTTTAGGCTCAAATTTCAACGGTGAGCTGTGATCACTTATACTGATTTGCTCAGCTAAAAAATTCCATATTCTGAGAAAAAAGTATGATTGGTAAAAATGGCCTACCTGTCCCTTTAAGGGATTTTTGGCTTTGTATATGTACTGTAGTATGCATAAATTTAAATATGCTTTAAAAAGTTTAGCATATTGTATTTAATTATGATTATTTTTGTGTTAAAAGACACATTCACATAATCCATGACTCGTTCTTGAACCAATATAATTGTATATATATCATTTACTTAAAACATGATTATCTATGAGAATATATGTATTATTGAAATAAAATAGTACCAAATTCCAAAAACTTTTTGCAATGGTGAAAACTGCAAAAGGGTTGCAGTAATGTTATCTGACATCTGCATGAAAAAAATTGAAATTGGTACATTATTCTGTAAAGTATTAATGAATGGAGTTATTGTACATGGTGCTTTACTGTGTCTTCAATTATAAAATTTTACTCAGGTAAAAAGATTAACAAAGAACACTATAGGGCCATAAAAATGTGGAAGAGTCATGCCATGTGTTTACTACAAGTATTGGCCTTTATCTCAATATAAACAAAAACTCACCTAAATTTATTATTGTACCATAAAATAGCTGGTGGAGGATTTCCAGTAATCTGGCATTTTAAAATAATATCAGCTCCAAGTTTGATATCTTCTCGTTTGGGTCTGCGTAATTCCACGGTGGCATTCTCTTCAATCCCTGAAAAATATTATATATTTAAAACGTTATATTCACTCATATCAAACAATGGTATTATTCATTCAGTTTTTATTCCTTGCCACTTTAATGGCTCATCTGGTTGCCAATAAAACCCACTGGGATTCGTTGCAGATCAGCTTTTTTATGTTTTAAACCTTTTTTAATCACTCCTATGTTTACATGGTATGAGACTGATAATTTTATAATCGGTTTTTATGACATAAGCTTTGTTATAAATATCAGTTGATAGCTTCCTAATCTTCTCCTATGATATTCTATGAATATTTCTTTCAAAAATGTTTAAACATTTGTGGTACTGCAATTTTACGATTATAATTTTTAATCACAAAGAATTTGCTACTAATTTGAAATATGAACTTGTTTAATTTTTATTAAAATTTATTGACTTAAGATATTTTAACAGTTTTTTTTTTGATTGACGAAAATTTCATTTTTCTTAAAATCTGAAAATTGTGACTTTTATGGCGATGATGTCATATCCATTTTTAATGATGCTAATTTTTTTCAAATTATTCAATGCCATTAAATTTTCCTGACATTAATGGAACTTGCTGCAGAAATTGCAATTTCTTGTTTGTTAGCTATTTAATGTCTCTTAATTTCCATGTTAGGCAGATATCAAATATGTTACTATGATTCACGATTTTATAGAATCATATCGATTTCAATTTGTCAACTTCTTCATTTTCAGATTGCAAAAGCAATGCGTACTTGGACCCCATGTGTGTGATTATATGAACCATTTATATAATGTATTGTGTGCAAATGTATGCATATGTAAATATTGTAAATGCATACTTATGTTATCTTTATGTACATGTGTCAAAATGTATGAATGTATGAATGTGGTAAATGCATACTAATGTTATCTTTATGTACATGTAAGTGTGAAAATGTATGCATATATGAATATTGTAGATGCATACTTTTGTTATCTTTATGTAAATGTAAATGTGATAATGTATGCATATATGAATATTGTAAATGAATACTTATGTTATCTTTATGTACATGTAAGTGTGAAAATGTATGCATATGTGAATAATGTAAATGCATACTTACGTTATCTTTTTTGTACATGTAAGTATGAATGTGTGAAAGTGGTAACATACATGTAAAGTTTGTGAGAATAAGGTACATATACATGTATGCAAGTGCTCACCTGGTACATGAAAGTGTGAATATGGTACTTATTTGTTGTATGTATGATTGTACAGATTTGTCATGTATGAACATGTATGAACGTATAAAGATTGCATGCATAGTTTGCAGGTTTGAAATTTTATCATTAAAATTGCAAATTACAAATGCCTCTAACCAATTGTTTTGGTTCCTCTAAATAAAAATTCTTGAAATTCTACAGATAAAAGATAATATTTATATTCAGGTTTTATCTCCTGGCAGATTTACCTTTAGTTTATGATCCAGCAAGATGTAAAATGTCTTAAACATTGGTGGTCTAAACTTAAGACTTGGAAATTAATGTTGCATACTAGAGATTTTATGATTTAGTTTATGGAGAATGGCTAGTCATATTAATTGTGAAATGGGTATTGTGAAGAAACTTTCAGGGCTCCCAGAACAGAAGTACTGATGGTTGAAATTATGTTTTCAAGCAATTGTATAGGGTGGTTTTAGGATGACAAGAATGTTTTCCAACATACTTTGGTCACCATAACTGCATATTATTCTTAATAATGTAAAGGATTTTTGATATGAATATTACTTATGGCCCTTGTTTCTTAACTCTTAACCACTGAACGTAAATAAAACATCATATACCCTAAACTCCTAAAAGCGATTGACTTAACGTCGTGTGACATCTGCTTTACTGGCTGCTCGGGTGTATTTGCATACTTCTGTATATGCTGCGAGAGTTGAAAGGCTTAACAAATATTACAAAAACCATTCTTGAAATCGTTTTATTTCTGAATTCAAAATTCCACACAAAAATATAATTTTTTAAGAAACAAGGGTCCTATAATTGCAGTGATACCAAGATGTCAGGTATACTAAAACTATGTATTTCATTCGAATAACATTGGTGGTCTATTTAAAGACATTTCAAACTATCCCAAGGGTTTTACATAAAGCTAAACCTTGTTAGAGTTCTAAAGGCTAACAATTGCACGAGGATTCCACTACGCAAGCTATTGTTAAATATTTACAAAAAACTTTCAGAACATTTTTGATTCCCCATAAAATAAATATTGGATCAAGATATGATAGTCAATAGGGAATCAAATCAAAGAGTAAAATAAATACATCTCATGTGTAGAAGCATATTCACAAAACAATTCCATTCTTAAAGACATATCAATACATGTTCCCTGATGGTGGTGCCATCATTTTCTGATTATAAGCTCTTGGATATGGAACTGATACTTTTACATGAAAGACGTACATACAATATTTTTGCCATCATACAGATATGCAAACAACAGAATTAAAAAAACAACCTGATTGTTATTGTGGTTTTCCTGTTTTTAATTTCCAAAATATTCCATATAAACTTAGTTTTGTGTCCTAACAGGCAGAACTAACAAAATATTTATCCTTATTGTCTTGTAATAATAATATATAACTTAGTGTCATTTATAATCATTAAAAGATATTCAGTAAGGACTAAAACCTTAAAAAAATTATAACCTTTAAAAAAGTTGCCTAGAATTGACATAATATAACTTGGTATAACTTATTATTTCCTAGAATTGACATAATATAACTATGTATAACTTATTATTTCCTAGAATTGGCCAAATATAACCCAATTGTGCTTAGATATAGAAACTATAACTTTGTATAACTTGATATTTCCTAACAAATATAACAAACTTGGTGTAGCCTGAGAAGCACAATTAGTTGATATGATATACATATTCTAATTACAGGTCATATATATACTGCACATCAAAAGGATTCCTCACAACCCAAGAGATCTGTGATTTAATGAAAGAATGGTAGAGAGTGTATAGTTAGTCTGTATAACACTTGTTCTAGGTTGTAAACTGTTTCTGACTGGGTGGTTTATATAACTAGAAATCTGTAATATAACACACAAAGTTTCAGGTAAAAGTTTCAGGTAAAGGTAGATTATGCTAATTGAAAACAGGTTGGTATAGTTAATGCCATAAAGTCAAAAAAATCAAGTGTTGTTTAACACCAATTTGTCATAAATAAGTTTATAACTAAAAAGAAATCCTTGATAGACACAGGACAAAATTTGAATATACTCATGAAATATCTTAAAGATCTAACAAAACGCTAGCAGTTGTGAACTCTTCTTTTGAAGGTATGAAAGTCACAATTGAAAGCCAGAATTATATATCAATTCCTGCAAACAGAAAATAGGCCAATAACAGCATATAGAATATCTTTAAATCTTGATATCCAATTGGTATGAGAACATACTTGTTCCAGTCCTAGCATATCTTCTTATCATTCAGAAGGCATATGCTCAGAAATTGTCCAAAAAAATTCCTTAAATATACCAAAAAACTTTCCTAAAAATGAGTCAAATTTGCCATAATCCAATAAAAGTGGGTGGTAAATACATGTAGTCTGGAAAAAATTTGCAGGATATATTTCACTGCAGTTTTTATTCACACTTTGACACACATGCAGCTATCAATGACAAATAAAGTTCATTTTAAGCCAAACTTAGTAACATTTGTATAATAATTTAGACCATTCCAATCAGTTATATTAGATAACATGTTGCTTGTGGTCTGATAAGAAAATTTTATGGATTTCCTACATGATATTTGGCATTAAGTGAAACATATTCTTGAAGCTTTTTTTATGGTCACTGCATCTTACTTGATTAGAACACAAGGCAATGCAGTGTGCAATAATGGAAATTTTGTTAGGTTTGTCACCTTTTAAACAAATGTCAAGTTTGAAGAGCACAACATGATATTTTAAGACCAACTTGTTGTTTAATTGACTGGAATATTTAGCAACCAATCACAGTTGTCAAAACAAATGCCAATCTAGACTCATGGGAGTTCCTGCAGTTTTTGAGATCGATTTGTATTTATCTTCGTTTTTTCAGAATCCATGTACTGATTTTGAATTTTGTTTTTTTGGTATATACATGGATAAATTTTAGGGACACTCTTGTAGTCAAGAATTGAACATGATTACTTCTTCGGCAAAGAACAGGAGTTAAACATAATAATGTGCCCCTGATTGCTTCAGAATTAGCTGCTGTGACTCTTGTGAAGCCACAATCTGTAATGTTATCTCAGAGGTGTTCCTTATCATTTCAGTAAATAAAAATAATTCATCCAATTCTGATATCAGATTTTTGGCAGTTAGTTTTCTAGTCTAAGTATCTTAATATCAGGATATGGTTGATTCCACTCTAACCACACTCCAAATCCCTGGGGTGTATTTTTAAAATGATGTAATATAGACTATAAGATAAGAGGCAAGTTTTCAACTTGTCTGTTTTCTTATTAAATACATTATGATTTATGAGTTCAGATTAAATATTGTCTACTCTCATAAAAACTCAGTAAAAACATTTATAAGCTTCTTGTTTTTCTAGAAAAAGTCAGTCAGAGGGCTAGCAGAAAATAGATAACAATACAAAATGCAAGTAAGCCTACTAACAATCCAAACAGTAAAACAAAACCTGAATTCCAAAAGATAAAAATATGAAAAAATAAAAGCACTAATGATCCAAAGTGCAAAGTGAAACTTGAATTCCAAAAGATAAAAAAATAAAGCACACCAACGATCCAAAGCGCAAAACGAAATCCTGAAATCCAAAATAACATAGCCTACAAAGCAATACTTCGGTAGCAGCTAGCTAATGAACTTTTCATATGAGAAGTATGTCAATCGTAAATGAGGAAGTAATTTCCTTCTTGTAGACAGATTCTAGCTTGAAATAGCTAACAATGACATTTTGTGACAATGTATTCTTTA